AGAAACAGGTAACATTTTCATGTTACTTATCGGAGTATAAAATGTGTATTTACATTGTGACATATGGAAGGTCCATCTCCATTCCTCAATATAACGTCATGTCCCCAACAAATGAGATACTGTACACCATATGAAGGTCCATCTCCATTCCTCAATATAACGTCATGTCCCCAACAAATGAGGAGATACTGTACACCATATGAAGGTCCATCTCCATTCCTCAATATAACGTCATGTGACCAACAAATGAGGAGATACTGTACACCATATGAAGGTCCATCTCCATTCCTCAATATAACGTCATGTGACCAACAAATGAGGAGATACTGTACACCATATGAAGGTCCATCTCCATTCCTCAATATAAAACATCATGTCCCCAACAAATGAGGAGGAGATACTGGACACCATACGAAGGTCCATCTCCATTCCTCAATATAACGTCATGTCCCCAACAAATGAGGAGATACTGTACACCATATGAAGGTCCATCTCCATTCCTCAATATAACGTCATGTGACCAACAAATGAGGAGGAGATACTGGACACCATATGAAGGTCCATCTCCATTCCTCACTATAACGTCATGTGACCAACAAATGAGGAGGAGATACTGGACACCATATGAAGGTCCATCTCCATTCCTCAATATAACGTCATGTGACCAACAAATGAGGAGGAGATACTGTACACCATATGAAGGTCCATCTCCATTCCTCAATATAACGTCATGTGACCAACAAATGAGGAGGAGATACTGTACACCATATGAAGGTCCATCTCCATTCCTCAATATAACGTCATGTGACCAACAAATGAGGAGGAGATACTGTACACCATATGAAGGTCCATCTCCATTCCTCAATATAACGTCATGTGACCAACAAATGAGGAGGAGATACTGTACACCATATGAAGGTCCATCTCCATTCCTCAATATAACGTCATGTGACCAACAAATGAGGAGGAGATACTGTACACCATATGAAGGTCCATCTCCATTCCTCAATATAACGTCATGTGACCAACAAATGAGGAGGAGATACTGTACACCATATGAAGGTCCATCTCCATTCCTCAATATAACGTCATGTGACCAACAAATGAGGAGGAGATACTGTACACCATATGAAGGTCCATCTCCATTCCTCAATATAACGTCATGTGACCAACAAATGAGGAGGAGATACTGTACACCATATGAAGGTCCATCTCCATTCCTCAATATAACGTCATGTGACCAACAAATGAGGAGATACTGTACACCATATGAAGGTCCATCTCCATTCCTCAATATATAACATCATGTCCCCAACAAATGAGGAGGAGATACTGGACACCATACGAAGGTCCATCTCCATTCCTCAATATAACGTCATGTGACCAACAAATGAGGAGGAGATACTGTACACCATATGAAGGTCCATCTCCATTCCTCACTATAACGTCATGTACCCAACAAATGAGGAGGAGATACTGGACACCATATGAAGGTCCATCTCCATTCCTCAATATAATATCATACTTGCTTTTCTAACTGATGATTTTGGATGATTGCAGAGGTGCAGTTATTTTGTTTCTTAGTATTCAGAGATGGGTTTGATAGCTCCACAATGAAGGCAGTAAAGTGTAAGGCATCATCCCCACCTCCCTAATGGCTGTCCTGGGTTTTTGGGTCTTCATAGTAACGTGTTGTTCCCATTGGACTCTGACAGCCACGCTCCACTTTGCGTTTGATACCCATTAGTGTGACTGCTCTTTGGGGTCCTGCAAGTGAGGGAGGAATACTTGGAAAGTTTTGCAACCTGAGTCCTATCTGTGGCAGCGCTCTTCCGGAAGTGGGGGGGTTAAAAAAAAGGGGGCGGGGATCTGTTACCTCTCTCTTCCTCTCGCCTTTAAACACTAAACGGAGTTTTGGATGACACACAAACCTCCATCATCAAAGCCCCCCAGGCCTGAATACCCCCTGCCTGCAAGGGTAGTAGCGCTTTAGACTTCCTTTTTTGTTTTTTCCTGCTCTGAGGGAGGAATACTTGCTCCTGTTACATGAGGCTTTTTTACACTAGCAGTATGTAGAGTACATTTCTGAGAAATAAGTAGGAGGAAGGTCCATCTCTATTGTCATGTTTCCAAGAAATAAGTAGGAGGAAGGTCTATCTCTAGTGTCATGTTTCCGAAAAATCAGTAGGAGGACGGTCCATCTCTATGGTCATGTTTCCGAAAAATAAGTAGGATGAAGGTCCATCTCTATTGTAATATTTCCAGAAATAAGTAGGAGGAAGGTCCATCTCTCTTGTCGTCATGTTTCCAAGAAATCAGTAGGAGGAAGGTCCATCTCTAGTGTCATGTTTCCGAAAAATAAGTAGGAGGAAGGTCCATCTCTATGGTCATGTTTCTGAGAATTAAGAGGAAGGTCCATCTCTAGTGTCATGTTTCCGATAAATAAGTAGAAGGAAGGTCCATCTTTATGGTCATGTTCTCGAGAAATAAGTAAGAGGAAGGTCCATCTCTAGTGTCATGTTTCCGAAAAATAAGTAGGAGGAAGGTCCATCTCTAGTGTCATGTTTCCAAGAAATAAGTAGGAGGACGGTCCATCTCTAGTGTCATGTTTCCGAAAAATAAGTAGGAGGAAGGTCCATCTCTATTGTAATATTTCCCAGAAATAAGTAGGAGGAAGGTCCATCTCTCTTGTCGTCATGTTTCCAAGAAATAAGTAGGAGGAAGGTCCATCTCTATTGTAATATTTCCCAGAAATAAGTAGGAGGAAGGTCCATCTCTCTTGTCGTCATGTTTACAAGAAATAAGTAGGAGGACGGTCTATCTCTATTGTCATGTTTCTGAGAATTAAGAGGAAGGTCCATCTCTAGTGTCATGTTTCCGATAAATAAGTAGAAGGAAGGTCCATCTTTATGGTCATGTTCTCGAGAAATAAGTAAGAGGAAGGTCCATCTCTAGTGTCATGTTTCCGAAAAATAAGTAGGAGGAAGGTCCATCTCTAGTGTCATGTTTCCAAGAAATAAGTAGGAGGACGGTCCATCTCTAGTGTCATGTTTCCGAAAAATAAGTAGGAGGAAGGTCCATCTCTATTGTAATATTTCCCAGAAATAAGTAGGAGGAAGGTCCATCTCTCTTGTCGTCATGTTTCCAAGAAATAAGTAGGAGGAAGGTCCATCTCTATTGTAATATTTCCCAGAAATAAGTAGGAGGAAGGTCCATCTCTCTTGTCGTCATGTTTACAAGAAATAAGTAGGAGGACGGTCTATCTCTATTGTCATGTTTCTGAGAATTAAGAGGAAGGTCCATCTCTAGTGTCATGTTTCCGATAAATAAGTAGAAGGAAGGTCCATCTCTAGTGTCATGTTCCCAAGAAATAAGTAGGAGAAAGGTCCATCTCTATGGTCATGTTTCCGATAAATAAGTAGGAGGAAGGTCCACCTCTATGGTCATGTTTCCGAGAAATAAGTAGGAGGAAGGTCCATCTCTAGTGTCATGTTTCCGATAAATAAGTAGAAGGAAGGTACATCTCTATTGTCATGTTTCCGAGAAATAAGTAGAAGGAAGGTCCATCTCTATGGTCATGTTTCCGAGAAATAAGTAGAAGGAAGGTCCATCTCTATGGTCATGTTTCCGAGAAATAAGTGGAAGGAAGGTCCATCTCTATGGTCATGTTTCCAATAAATAAGTAGGAGGAAGGTCCATCTCTAGTGTCATGTTTCCAATAAATAAGTAGGAGAAAGGTCCATCTCTATGGTCATGTTTCCGAAAAATAAGTAGGAGAAAGGTCCATCTCAAGTGTCATGTTTCCGATAAATAAGTAGGAGAAAGGTCCATCTCTATGGTCATGTTTTCGATAAATAAGTAGGAGAAAGGTCCATCTCTATTGTCATGTTCCCGATAAATAAGTAGAAGGAAGGTCCATCTTTATGGTCATGTTTCCAAAAAATAAGTAGGATGAAGGTCCATCTCTATTGTAATATTTCCCAGAAATAAGTAGGAGGAAGGTCCATCTCTAGTGTCATGTTTCCGAGAAATAAGTAGGAGGAAGGTCCATCTCTAGTGTCATGTTTCCTATAAATAAGTAGAAGGAAGGTCCATCTCTAGTGTAATGTTTCCGAGAAATAAGTAGAAGAAAGGTCCATCTCTAGTGTCATGTTTCCGAGAAATAAGTAGAAGGAAGGTCCATCTCTAGTGTCATGTTTCCGATAAATAAGTAGAAGGAAGGTCCATCTCTAGTGTCATGTTTCCGAAAAATAAGTAGGAGGAAGGTCCATCTCTAGTGTCATGTTTCCGAAAAATAAGTAGGAGGAAGGTCCATCTCTATTGTCATGTTTCCGAGAAATAAGTAGGAGGAAGGTCCATCTCTAGTGTCATGTTCCCAAAAAATAAGTAGGAGGAAGGTCCATCTCTATGGTCATGTTCCCGATAAATAAGTAGGAGGAAGGTCCATCTCTATGGTCATGTTCCCGATAAATAAGTAGGAGGAAGGTCCATCTCTATGGTCATGTTCCTGAGAAATAAGTAAGAGGAAGGTCCATCTCTATGGTCATGTTCCCAAAAAATAAGTAGGAGGAAGGTCCATCTCTATGGTCATGTTCCCGAGAAATAAGTAGGAGGAAGGTCCATCTCTATTGTCATGTTCCCGATAAATAAGTAGGAGGAAGGTCCATCTCTATGGTCATGTTCCTAAAAAATAAGTAGGAGGAAGGTCCATCTCTATGGTCATGTTCCCGAGAAATAAGTAGGAGGAAGGTCCATCTCTAGTGTCATGTTCCTGAGAAATAAGTAGGAGGAAGGTCCATCTCTAGTGTCATGTTCCCGATAAATAAGTAGGAGGAAGGTCCATCTCCATTCTTCCTGGTACACAGTGTGATCTGAGTGTATTGTATCATTGACCTGGATTGTGTTCATATTTTTCTGTTCTGATTGACCCCAGTTCCATGCCAGAGCTCTGTGAAAACTTAAAGTGTTAGACCAACATATATGACTCCTAAAAGTGAAACATGAGGAATACTTATTTGTGGAAAATTTGGTTTCCAACAGGTGGACACTATGCCTGGAATTCCTCCGAGGAACGTCATATTATATCTCAGGGTTTTGATGCAGAAGATAATGAAATTGCACAATATTCTCGGGGAGTGAATCTCATTACACATCACAGACTTTCCCATTTGGAGAGATCGATGGATCCCTGTAACACCGAGGAACCGCCTGATATATCACATTCCATTGCTCCAGATATCCAGCTGAGAACTCAGAGTCCCTACAGATCAACAGATCCGTCTGATTCCAAGGAACCTTTTTTAAGCCATCAAGGAGATAACACAGGAGAGCATTTATTGACATGTTTGGTGTGTGGGAAAAGTTTCACTGGAAACCAAGACCTCTTTTTTCACCAGGAAAGTCACAAGAGTGAGTGTCACCACGAATGCTGCAAGTGCGGGAAATGGTTCATTGAGAAAGGAGACCTTCTTAGTCACCAAAGAATCCACACGGGCGATCGTCCTTATTCGTGTCCAGAGTGTGGGAAATGTTTCGCTGAGAAAAAAATACTTCTCACACACCAGAAAAGTCACACGGGAGAGCGTCCTTTTTTATGCTCAGAATGCGGGAAATGTTTCATTCTGAAATGTGCGCTCGTTAGACACCAGAGAATTCACACGGGAGAGCGTCCATTCTCATGTTCTTACTGCGGGAAATGTTTCATTCAAAAAGGAGACCTTCTTAAACACGTGAGAACTCACACAGGTGAGCGTCCGTTCTCATGTACATACTGCGGGAAATGTTTCATTCAAAAAGGAGACCTTCTTAAACACGTGAGAACTCATACAGGTGAGCGTCCGTTCTCATGTACATACTGCGGGAACTGTTTTATTCAAAAAGGAGACCTTGTTAAACACCAGAGAATTCACACTGGTGAGCGTCCTTATTCGTGTTCAGAGTGTGGGAAATGTTTTACTGAAAAAGGAAAACTTGTTACACACCAACAAAGTCATTGTGGTGAGCGGCCTTTCGCTTGTTCAGAGTGTGGGGAAAGTTATACTGAGAAAGCAAAACTTCTTGCACACCAGGCAATTCACATGGGTGACACACCTAACAGTGCAGATAGCTTTAATGACCCATCTAATCTCAAGGAATCCTCTTTAAACCATGAAGGGGTTCAAACAGGAGAGGATTCATTGTCATTTTCTGTGAGCGGAATATCTTTCATTGAAAACAAAGACCTTACACACCAGAAAAGCCTGAATCACCATGTCTGCTCAGAGTGTGGGAAATGTTTCTTTGAGAAAGAAAACCTTCTTAGACACCAGAGAATTCACACAGATGATCGTCCCTTTTCCTGCCCAGAGTGCGGTAAATGTTTTGGTGAGAAGAAAGTGCTTCAAACACACCAGAAAAGTCACACTGGAGAGCGCCCTTTTTCATGTTCAGAGTGCGGGAAATGTTTCATTCTGAAATATGCCCTTCAGAGACACCAGAGAATTCACACAGGTGAGCGTCCATTCTCATGTTCATATTGCGGGAAATGTTTCATTCAAAGGGGAGACCTTTTTAAACATCAGAGAATTCACACAGGGGAGCGTCCTTTTCCATGTCCGGTGTGTGGAAAACGCTTCATTGACAAAGGAAGCCTCGTTAAACACCGGAGAATTCACACCGGTGAGCGTCCTTATTCATGTTCAGAGTGCGGGAAATCTTTTATTGATAAAGGAAAACTCGTCACACACCAGAGAATTCACAAATGAGTTATTTTTTTAATGTTCATAGTACAGTGTATTTTTAATTCAGACTTTCTTAAGCACCAGATAATTCACACTGGTGAGCTTTCTTGTTTGTAGAAAATTGTGTTAATAAAAAGTTACGCTTCTTACACTTCAAATATTTCACATGGCTGAGTATCTTTTCTTATGTCCAGATTGTGGGAAATGTTTCTATTGCAAGAAAGCACTTATTACGCACCAGGGAAGTCACATGGGGGGAGCTTCATTTTTATTTTCTGTTAAGGAGTGTGGAAAATGTTTCACTGAAGGAGATCTCAGTATACACCAGAGGTGTCGCACTACTGAGGGTTGGTTTTCCTCCTCAGTACATACACCTGCCAGTTCATTTCACAGACTTTTAACATGTACATATAGTAAAAAATACAATTATATATAGAGAGAGAGACTGGAGCAGACAAAATCTGGAGCAGTTGCCTATGGCAACCAATCAGCCTCTCTCTTCAGTTTGTTCAGTTAAGCTTTGAAAATGAAAGGTGGATGCTGATTGGTTGCCAGGTACAGCTGCTCCAGTTTTGATATATTGCCCTCACTGTGTCCCTCCAGCCAGCGTCCCGCAGCCGCCATGGTGACCGTAAGGTTGCGCCGGTTCCGCGGCCTGTAGGCGTGTACAGCTTTTCACGGCTGGCGTCCCCATGCAACCATGGTTACCCGGGTGAGTCCATGCCTATGGGCGTGTGCAGCTCTACCCAAGAGTGCTGAGCTCCGAGGACGCAAGTAGTCAAAGAGACTGCTGAAGGGCAGGCCACTCCCACTGGCTATCCACAGGACGGCCCCCAAGGAACAAACGGCCCGCAGAGACGCGGCAATTATCTGTATAACACAACGTCTTTCGATGGAGAACGCATGTGCTTACCTGGTGTGATACGGTGCTGATTTCATGCCACAGTTTGGGATTTATTATATGGGAATAGATAAGCGATCGCATCCGTTATTCTCTCATGTACATTCTTTTGCTATCTGGCGGAAGTATGACATCATCATGACGTCACAAGGGGTAGAAGAGTGGTGCGACTGGTTCTGGTGTCATGCACTTGTGTGTGTGTATATATATATATATATGTGTTCATGCTTACACGTCTTGCCTTATGAAGGGGATCCCGCGTCACCCCGAACCTTTGCATTGGTGATGCATTTTCGCCCGCGCAATTCAACATTCGGAGTGCCGGTGCCCCGTTTATGCTCTGCGTATATGTAACGGCGACATGCGTTGGGACACCGCAGCACCCGCCAGGGTGTTCA